CATGACCCTGGCAAAGCCGGGTGTGTGCAACCACAGAGCTCCTAATTATGCCGGATCAACCCAGACTCCAGGGATCATCACCTGAGAAAAATTTGGGGCCAAAACCCATGAAAAATGGCTACACAGTCACTGGACTCCAACCCCAGAAAGGACAGGCAATGAAATGGAGAAACCAGACTCAGAGACGTGAGGCAGGCACATTTGGATTCAAACTTTAATTCCAAATCCTTGAGAAAGTCTGTGATCTCAGTTGCTTCACCTATACGACAGGGATAATTAAACCAACTCCAAAGGGATGCTGGGAGAGCCACATGAGACCCAACCGCTCCAGAGCAGGTCCTAACTCTCTTCTTGGCTTCTGGCCCTAAGGAGAGGTCCAATAAATAGGTGTTGGTTGACTAAACGAGTGAGTGAATGTCATTTAAAGCAGAGACTTCAGGAAAAGCAGGTGACATGCAGCTTTGCAACAAATGACGCAGCCACCCACAAACAGGGCAACTCTCCCATGGCTGAAGTCAACATCTTGATGAGCAAGAGGCTTAAGGGGCGTTCCCGATGCACCACTGCACCCATCACTTTAAATACTAGAGACAGGCATAAATGCCTTTATTGATCCAGAAGATTTTAATGGCTCCCTGTGATCATTTCTAAGTGAATCTCACTTCTGCCAGTGAAAGCCTTGCCATGAGGAAGGCAATTACAGATGCTGTTTCCTAAGTGGCTTCTGCAGGCTGACCTGTGTGCAGGAGGCTAGGACTCCCTGCCTTCCATGGGGCAGCACTGTGACAAGGGTCACGGGATGGCCATGTGCAAGACACAGCAGGGACTCTTGGGGTTGCACCAGATTTTCTTGAGAGCGAGAGGACACCTTAAGGCAGCCATAAAATAGAAAGTGTTGTGCCCCTTTCCCAGTGACCCTCGCTGGGAAGGCCAGGACGCTTGTTTCCTGACAGATCAGGGGCTCATGAAGATGTGTGGCAGGAGGCTTGCTAGGAAGATGGCTGGTTCCCAGAATCTTATGTGTCTAGAAAACACAACACCCAGCTCTTAGACAGCAACTTCTTTTGCTCTGCAGAACAGAGGTGAACTAACCCCCACAGCGGCTCATCGCTGCTGCCCAAAAGGCCAATGCATGGCTAAGTTGCTGTCTCCTGGGTCCAAATTCACTTGAAGCTTGAAAGTGTGGCCAGTCCCTGTGTTCCACTTGTTTCCCCTCCCTCCCTGCAACTCCCATTGCCCCAAGGGCCTTCTGGATTCTATGGCTAAAAACAGATGAGTGACATTAAGATGGGAGTGGACTCCATCAAGGAAAGCTGATTTCGGGCATGTTTTGGGGTGAAAGGGAGTATCCTGCATGCTCACTGGCCTGAGCTGGTGCTCAAGCTGACCTCGAGCAAGACATTTGGCCTCATTTCCTTGTCTGTAAATTTGGAATAATTTCCCTTCCTTCCAGGTCAGTGCTGGAGAGGAACAGAGACAATGCATGTCAGGCACCGAGTACTGGGCTCCCAGTGGCAAGCCCCTTCTCCCTACTGGGCAAGGTGCCCCACTTGGCGGGGAGTGGGACTATCTTGAAGCACTGGTGAGCTCCTGCATCCCTGCCCCAGGAGCCCAAGGGACAACCTTGGCAACAGGAAGAGGTCATTTAGAATGATTACTCTGCTGGTAGGCTGAGATCCCCATTCTGCAAGCTTAGCCCAGGGGGATTTTTCTCTCCCAAGAGGCTCCCAGGGAAAGAAGGGGCCCTCAACCTGCAGTTGCTCTTGATTGCTGTCCCAGACAAGTAAGGGTGGGAAATCCTGAAGGGGGCCTGGAGTTTGACGTTTTTCCAGCTGGGGGGGCCACAGTTTCACTTTTGTACCCCGGCAAGAGCTACAAGCTGTGGTGAAAAAACCCACGGAGCGACCTCACGAATAGCCAGACTTGTTATGATGCATGGAATTTTTGTTTCTGAATTTCTGCTGCTGCCACTTTCTTTGTGAAACCACTTTCTCAGCAGAGACAATGTTTGGGGCCCCCCCATCCGTCCTCATTGTCTCATCTCCAGGCTAAATATATCTCAGCTTGTTGAAAACCAGCATCCACATAAGAACCAGATGGTGGCGAGATTTAGGAGGGTGGGGGCGATCTGGCATTCTCACATTGCAGGGGGTGGGGGCTGGCCGTCTTCCACAGGCCAGGCTGTACTCATAGACTCCGCGTCTCACACTGCCACTTACGAACTGGGGAGTTGCTCTAGAAGGTGCTTGGTGCCGTGAAAGTGTTGAATGGCTTGATGGATTAAGCACTGTCTGAGGAGTCAGGAGGCTGAGACTTGACTCTGCTCTGCTGCCACTCACAGACGCACTCAGGGAAGCCCCTCACCCCCACCACCAAACAGATTTCCCATCCAGAGCATCAGAGCGGGGAGGTGAGCTCTAGGAATTGTTCCATCCTTGAGGCTCATAACAGCAAACAACTGGAAATGACCCCAGCGCACCCTCCCTAAACCAGGACCTATCCCTGCAGTGGGACCCTTGGTAGGTCCGAATGGGGAAGGAGCACCAAAAGGCTGCTAAGCAAAACCACAAAATAAAACCCAAAACCCACAAAAACAAACACACCAACCAAAAGAACAAAAGCAAACACAGAGTACCCCTGACATGCACAGAGCAAGCTCCCATCTGTGCGAAAAAGAACAAATGAAGTGAGCATTGACAGAAGATGCAGAGACTCTCACTGGTACCATGGGTTGCTGCCCACGCCGACCAGGCGAGAGACTCCCTGCATCTTCTTTGGAATTTTGAACCATAGAAATGTCTTATTCTTAAAACTTTTAAATTACATTAAAAATAGATCCTGTGAGACTTTCAGGAAGGTTGTCAGACAAGACTAGAAAATGTACCAAGAGTGATGAAGTCTTCCAGGGGCAGGGCGGCCAAATGCATCATGGACTCTGTCAGCCAAAATTGCCAGAGATGCAGGAGCAGCAACAGATTTCAGGGAGGGGAGGCTGGACCCTCAGGTCTGGGCCAAAGGGAAACCTAATTTGTCTTGGTTAATAAGAGGAGACCCGTGTTCCCCCAGGGGCAGCTGGCTCCTGATGTCACAAGGTGATCTATTAGCACAAGGCTTTGAAAGGTCACAGTAGTGGTCTTGCCCAGAGTGCCCCCTCCCCTGGTCAGCATGGAACCCAGGGGACTCTGGGAGGAAACCTTGTTGGTCCCACCTCCAGGCCCAGCTGCCAGGGTCCCCCTGGTGCACTTTATCTGAAGACCTACGGTCCCTGGCTTTTCTCTAAGGGAAAACATCCATTGCAGAAACATCCATTTTCTCCCCAGGGGAAATATCCTAGATAGGGAGTGAGCAGCCCTGTATGCAAACCCATCACAAGGGCTGTACGGTCCTGGCCAGCTATTCGTCCTTCCTAAATCCAGATTTTCCTCTCCAGAAAGCGCTGCTGCGAACTGCTCCTGGGCTGGAGGGGAGTTAAGTGAGACAATGCCTGGGAGAGCACAGCGCATGCCTGGCATTGGCTGAACCTCACAGACCTGCGTACAGCAAATCCCACGGAACACAGCGGGAACGCCCTGCAGCTGTGAGCCTGGTCTGCTTATTCTACTTAGATAATTAGAACCATAGTCACGGGAGATGCTGAGTAGGTCATGCCTCCTCCTCTCCCCCCTGCACATTTCAGTGATGAAGAGGTAGTGCACGTCCAGGCATTGTGATGCTAAGGGACCTTGATCATTCCATGACAGACCTCTGGTGCTGTCCCACATGGCACCGAAATTCATTAATGACAGTCGATTTCAGTAAGTCCGTGATTTGCTTAAACTGGAGTAAAATCAAAGGAGATATCATCCATCTCTCTCACAAACTAAGTAAATCATTGTTCTCTGGCTAAACCATCAGAGAGTCCCCAGTTTCTCATTTGCGCAGCCCAGTCCCATTTCAGATGTATTTAATTGAAAGCCTGTCTCTAGAGCCAGGAGCAAGTCTGTGGTCATGGGCTGAAGGAACCCCTTTGTGGATGTTTTTATAAGGTTTTGTTCCCTATGCTGTGTTGAGGAAAGTAGGGTGCGGGAATAAGAGCTACTGTCATTATTTAAATGATCCCCTAGTCCATAGGGTAGGCCTGTGGGTGACAGCTGCCCAGTGCAACTGGCCCCATGACCTACCACCTCATCTCTTTCTCCTTTGAGAGTCTCCAGAACTGGCTCAGGAGGCAGCAACCCCTGCCCAGTGCTGGGGTGAGACTAAGGATTCCTTGGGGATACATGGGGTTGGGATTCTCCACCCTCACTGGGGCTATGTATCTACCTTAAACCTGATGCCTTCAAGGCTGGGTCTAAACTGATACCCTGTCAACAAGCCAGTGTCATAAGCAAGCAGCTTTCCGAGGTCACTGGTTTCATCTCCTTTCTCGGGGGAGAGAAGGTGCCTGCTCCAACTCTAGATATTATTTGCTGGTTCATTTGCCTTGGCAAAAGCAGCCCAGAGCCCCCGCACCTACAGGATATATTGTTCCTGTGAGTCATTTCAACCAGAAAAATGAAATGACGGATCCCTACCAGTCAGAGGTCGAAAGTGCCCAGGGCGAGGGACAGCTTCAGTGAATGCGACCCCATCCTGCAGTTAGGAGTCCCCTCACTGCTCACTTTCTGCTGAGGTTGGCAAAGAGTCAATGAAAAACAGCCCAGGCCTTGAGTGTGACTTGTTAACAAACTTGACTTTGCTGGACAGATAACAAGCCTAACCTCTTCTCCTTTTAAAATTCATTAGTTAAGACATGCACAAATAGGAAGACATAGTCCTTTTGTCTTGGGGGGAAAATGCACCTGCCTTCAGAAATTACAGAACCCTGGTGGCAACAGTGTTGGATATTTGTCCAAATCCTTGCACAATAGTCTGAGGTCCAAGGATGGCCTTTGGCCCTTTTACACAGACTCAGGCTACAAATGAAAGCCCCATGTCCCAGGGAACCTGCAGGAGTTGTACAGACTGGAAAGTCCTTTTACCTTGAAAGTTGTTGCAGATTCAGGATTGGCAAGAACCAGAGGCGAAATGAGTACCATGCCGGCGAAGTGGCCCGGTCTCTCTGCGGCCGTGAGGATGGCAATGGCACCTCCCTGTAATGCAGAACGGGCAGAGCTGCTGTGTTGGGCTTGCACCAGTGCACATATTTCTAATAAACACGACCGATGCAGTCCTCTTGAGCTGCAGTCCTGGCCAAGAGCACTGAGGAGGACTACCTCGGAAGAGGCACCATCAAATGTTGGATAAACTAGATCTGCAATTATTTTACTACACATGTTTTTTTCTCTGGGTTTTCCAAGAGCAAACATTGCGGAGAGACATAAATAAGGTTCTTGCTTGTGGGCCGCAAGTTAAACAATAACACATTTCCACTTCATTTCAAGCCCAAAGCTGGCAGAACCCCAACTCATCTATCCCGACAAGCTTAATAGGAGGGGTTTTTTGTTGTTGTTGTTGTTGGGGGTAATCTGATCATAATAATAGATTGCTATACTATACTTTTCCTGGTTTAGTTAAAGGTCCTAGAAATTTAAATTCCAAGAAAAATGGACATGAACGTGGATGGTGCTGAAGGAGGCCTCATCTGTTTGCTGAAGCACAAAGGTGCTTGAAAGCAAGGGTTGCAATTGCAAATGCTCACAGGGGCCAGGCAGGTAAGAGAAATGTAAGGACAGAGGCAGGCAGTGATCAAGGGGTGGGAGGCAAGACCTGCCCTGGTGAAATGTCCTCAGGCATTCAAATTCAAGCAGTTCAATATATCTTGATCAGCCAACCAGCCTGCTTTTTCTGTAGGTAGATTTGGCCTGGGGGCTGCCAGTGTAAGGACCCTGATGTAAATACTACATTTGCTTGATTCTTGGAAGGTTTTAAATATTTAAAAGGCGGAAGAAGTTGGAATAAACTTTAAGGAATTATTTCCACGGGGACCCTTTGTTCCTAGGTATCATTTGTCGTCTGTACTGTACAATTCTGAAACAAGCACACAGGGTTTGGGGACATTTCATGTGCTTCTTATTGATGGAGGAGCTAATCCCCTCTCCAAGAAGTGGCTCTTAGTAGCCTCACTGTTAAATGGCACCAAATGGGCCAAGGAGCATCGATAAAAAGATCAGTTTTCAAGAGGCCCCATACTCAAGCTGCTTGGTAAGGACCAGCTGGCAACCTCACTTGTTTCCTAAGCACAGAATTGCCCAGGAACTCCAAGTGCAGTGCATAAAAGGAGACATCATGCCAGCTAGGCAGAGAGCAGGTGGGGCAGGGAGTCAGGGCCACCCCCTTCCCTCTGCAAGGCTGGGAGCCAGGCTGGATTTGACCTGCGTCTTCTGTGGTCTGCTTACCATGGAATGTCCCAGAAGGAAGACAGGAAGCCCAGGGTAGTCTTTCTGCACGGAATCCACATGCTGCAACACATCTCTGACGAAAACATGGAAGTCAGACACTACCATCCTCTCCCCTTCGCTCTGTCCGTGGCCAACTGGAAAGGAATGGGAGATGAGAGAGAGCTACAGTTACCAGATCGGCTCCTGCCCAAGCCCAGAGGTCTCCTCACTGCAATCACGGACCTCTCTCCTGAGCGCCTGAATGTGTCACCTCGTTTAACCCTTTCCGGCCACTCTTGAACGTTGGAATTCTTCTCCCCATGTTTTATGGATTAGGAAACTGAGGCACACAGTGGTTGAGGAACGTGCCTAGACCACAGCACTAGGAAGCGATGAGCCAGGGTGAACATACTACAAAGCCTCCCTCAGGGCAGTTTCCAAGGAAGGGAGAAAGGACAGGGGCACAGAGAGCCCAGTTTTCTGCAAAGTGGCCAGGAGTAAGACAAAGAAGTCTCAGAATTTTCCTACATTTTCCCTGTTCCTGGTCCTGGGCGGCTATGCCTGAATATTGGCCTTTCACCAGGTAGAGTGGTACACTTGGCCCCTCATCTTACAGCTTTAGGTGAAGATAATATGACAAATATAAAACGAAGTGCAGTCGTCGGGTGTGCTTGCCAGCAAGCTTCTCAACGAAGCTGCAGTGAAACTAGGTCACACTCTCTCCCTCTTGGGTGTAATCTGCTACATATCTATGCCGTGCACCCGCTTGTTCTTTCCTCAGGGCCCTCCACTCTCTCCCTCTTTGAAGGACATCAGTCGCTACAGAAACAACTCACTGGCTGTGGCTTCACATTCGGGCTGAAAGCAGCTGTGACGGTTTGAAAATTGCAAAAAAGAAAGCGCTTCTGGAGAACTGGGACCACACAGCCAGAAGGGCTGCCCAAACCTTCCCTGCTGAGAGCCTGAAGCACTCATTAAGCCTCTGCCACCTCTGAGGAGGCTTCTGCACTAATAACGGTCACCACCTGGAACTCACAGGCCGCCCAGACTTCCAGCTTGGAGACCCTCTTGCTGTCAGGCCCTGAGCTCCCGTGTTTCCCACTGGCCTGTCCCCTGCGCCCACCTTCCCAGCCACCGCCCCATGGTCTCTCTGACCATCCCACTGGGCCCGGGGTCCCACTACCCTCTCAGCAACACTCCCTGTTCCCTGGCCCTTCTGAGTGTTTTTCTCTTTTAAAATTTGTTTTTACTTTTTACTGTGCTATCATATCCATAACATAAATTTTACTATTTGAACCATTTTTAAATGTACAGTTCAGAGGCATCAAGGACATTATTGTGCATCTCGGTTCTTTTTTATCTTCCCATGCTGAGATTCCACACCAATTGTTATGGGCTGACTTGTGTTGCCCAGATCCATATGTCAAAGCTCTAACCCCCGGGATCTTGGAATGCAACCTTACTTGAAGACAGGGTCTTAAAAAACATGATTAAGTTAAATGAGGTCCTTAGGGTGGGCCCCAATCCAAATGACTGGTGTCCTGTAAGGAGAGGGGATTAGGACCCAGACATAGAGGGAAGGTGATGTGAGGATGCAGAGAGACGGCAGCCATCCACAAGGCAAGGAGAGCCTGCAGGAGAAACCAGCTCTGCCGATGCCCTGATCGTGGACTTCCAGCCTCTGGAACTGTGAGACAATAAATGTCTATTGTTGAAGCCCCCACTTGCGGTCCTTTGTTATGGAAGCCCTGGGAAACTCAGATACTATTAAACCCCAACTCCCATTTCCTCCCCACTCTCTCTTTCCCCACACCCTGGCACCCTCTATTCCACTTTCTGCTTCTATACATTTGACTTCTCTAGGGACTTCCTATGAGTGGAATCAGGCCATATTTGCCCTTTTGTGTCTGGCTTATTTCACATAGCACAGTAACCTCAAGGCGATCCATGTAGTTGTATGTGTCAGAATTTCCTTCCTTTTTAAGGCTGCATCATATTCCATTCTGTGGATGGACCATGTTCTGTTTATCCATTTGTCTGTTGATGGACTATTTGGGCCGTTCCCACCTTTTGGCTATTGCTAATGATGCTGCCGTGAACATAGGTGTGCAAATATTTCGTCACATCCCAGCTTTCAGTTCTTTGGGGCATACACTCAGAAGTGGGGTTGCTGGGTCAGATGGTGATTCCGTGTTGAATTTTTGAGGCATGTCCCCCCATTTCCATGTGGAACATCTCTCTGGATGCAGCCCCTGCTCCTCCGCAAGGACTGCCGCTCTCCACTCTGAAGCCTGAGGGCTGGCTGCACATGAACACTGAGCCAAGGCAACACCAGGGATGCCCAGTGACCTGCTGCCTCTTCCCACAGGCTTGGTCCTCAGCCACATTCATCTGGGCATCTCTTCCAGATGTCTCTATTTTCCCAAAGCTTACACTCCTACCTCATGACCCTGAGAACACAGTGTCACTCATCTATTTTGAAAACATGGGGAGAGTCCAAAACAGTGCTTTACATCAGAAGCATTCCCCTTCCTGATTCCGACCACTCCCGGCCCAGCCTGCTCCTGTGCCAGCTGCATCCCTGTCCTCTTCCTTCATCCACAGCCCCCCAGCTGCCCTCTTCCCTTCCTCCTCCCTTTCCTCCTTAAGGGTTGATCCACACTCATGGCCTTTTCCCCACCTACATTCTCTCTCTAGCCCTGGAGGCTCTGTGCAACCCTCAGCTGAGTCAACCCCAGTGGGCTTTTTTCCACCCCATCCTATTCTGAGCTCTTGGCTCACTCAGCACCACATGCTCCCGCTGACCTTGTCATGGGGCACACTTGGAAATGAACTTCCACGCCTGGAAGTGACTTCTCATCTGACTGCGTTTTCTTTGTCTATTTTCCTCCCTGGATGATTTCTGTACTTATTCATTCATTCATTTTTAGTTTAAAAATTGCATTTTAAAAGATACTCTATTCACATGGTTTAAAATCAAAGTGGTATGAAAGGTGTATACTGACTGTCCCTTTCCCACTTGTTCCCATTCACCTGATTCCCCATCTTCCCCTAAACTCTTCTCTTAGTGTCTCAGCCTCTTTACAAGCAAATACGAATATAAATCCTGATTTTTACCCCAGTCCTAAACAAAGAAACACATAACAGATCCTGCTCTGCGTGGGGCTTTGTTCACTCGACACTATATCCTGAAGATCTTCCAACGTTTGAAATAGGGCTCCTCTCCAACTTCTTACTACGAAATTTTCAAATGCACAAAAACACTGAAAGGATATTTCAATAAATACCCATATGTCTACTATCTTTATTCAACAATTGTTATTTTGTTTGCTGTATATTTACACATTTATGAATATAAAAATGGCTGAATATTTTACAAGTAAGTTGCAGCTGGACAAGGTGGCTCATGTCTGTAATCCCAGTGCTTTGGGAGGCCAGGGTGGAAAGTTCACTTGAGCCCAAGAGTTTGAGACTGACCTGGGCAATATAATGAAAGAGAGACCCTGTTGCTACAAAAGTATTTAAAACATTAACTGGGCATCGGTGGTGTGGTGGCACACACCTGTAATCCCAGCTACTTGGAATCACTTGAGCCCTTGAGGTTGGGGCTGCAGTGAGCTGCATGCCAGTCTGGACAAAAGTGAGACCCTGTCTCAAAAAAAAAAAAAAGAAAGAAAGAAAAAGAAGAAAGAAAAAGAAGAAAGGAAAAAGGAAAGGAAAGGAAAGGAAAGGAAAGGAAAGGAAAGGAAAGGAAGGAAG